ATAATGTATATTAAGCTGTTATGAGCAGTGACTGTATCTTTTCTCCCTGCATAATTCAGAAAGTCAGATTTGTGTATTTGATTTCTTCCATCGTGGTTTATAAAATTTGAAGGTGTTAATGTTTGCATTCGTATAAATCTTTTGTGTGACTAATGTGCCCATGTGCCCTAAGTATAGTAATTTTCTTGACTATCACAGAACTTACACTAAACTCCTGATTATCTGGGCTTTTCGGTCACAGGAAATCCTTACTAATATTATAAATGTGAACGTGAGTTTGTTTGTTTGTTATGCTTTCATGCCCTAATTGTTTAAGCGATCATCATGAAATTTTCAAGAAATATTTTTGAAATATTAGAAAAGGTTATAGGCTATAAAATGTCTTCGCACGACTTTGTTAGCCGAGATATTAATTAAAAAATACTTTTTCTCTACATTTTCACTTACTTTGTTTTGTTTTTCCCTATTAAAGGGATTTGGCTACACACCAATATATATTTTCACAAATATCTATGGAACGGCGTTTAGTTGAATTTCGAGACACATATCCGCTGACTCCAAAAATTCATCGAAATCCATTGATACTATTCTCATCTTCGTATGACTTTAATCATCTGAGATATTAATTGAAAACTCTGAAAATGCTAATTTGAATCCGACTTAATAGCAACATTAGGGATTTTTTTCTGAAGTCTTCCCGTGTGGGTCCAATAAATTGGTGATAAGAATTATAACTTTTGATCTAGTTATCCAAATTTCTCGAAATTTAGAAACTTGTGTCGTTTTCTGAATGACAGGAACAATTGATGGTGTAACTGTTTTTGTCGCTTAATTATTTCTAGCTTAATCACAGATGAAATAATACTCCGCTTGCTATTGTTAACTCTTTGTTGACAGGCTGGGATTTGAAAGCAATGGAGGAGGGGGGTTCTGGTATCCGGGAAAGGCATTTTGCTTACTGAATTTCTTCCCAGAGGTGAAACCATTAATGCGGCACGATATTGTGAGACTTTAACAAAAACTAAGGCGTGCCATTCAAAACAAACGAAGAGAATGCTCAGTAAAGGAATTGTGTTGCTCCATGACAATGCTCGGCCTCATACTGCTAGGTCTCACTCAATTGTTAATTCGACAGTTTCATTGGGAGCAGTTCGATCACCCGCCCGTACAGCCCCAACTTGCGCCGTCCGATATCACTTGTTCCTGCACATGAAGCGTGAGCTTGGTGGCAAGCGCTTTGAACGACGATGACACGAAAATGCCGTGGAGTTGGTGTCGAAAACTGGGGGGAAGTTTCTTTGATGATGGTATCAAAAACTCGTCACCCGATGACAAGTGTTGATCATTGGCGGGAAACTATGTTGAAAAATAGTTTAAGACATATATTTTCATGTAAAATGTAAAAATAAAATTGGATTCGAAAAAATTGTTTTACTATTTTTTTTTTTTTTTTCCAAACGGTACTTAGTTTCCGAATACGCCTCGTAATATTATGCCTTTTCAGACACACCATCTGAACTAATCTGGTTAATCTGAACTAATTAAGTAATGAAATAAATCTAACATGAATAATACTGAAAGGTAATATAGTAGTTTCTCCAGCTATACGTAGTTGATCAAGGACTCAACTAAATCAAAGCCTAAAGAAATCATAAAAATAATTGCTAACCAATTTAGCACTTGTGATCATAATTTAGTAGAAGTACTTTTTACGTTGTGTTTTATCTACCGAGACCATGCTCAAGAAAAGATCTGTTAAATGACCATAACAATATACAAGAAAAGCATAACACTTATTAACCATTAATAAGCAAATTTATTTCCTCTCTAGAAGCCAAAAATGTAGTACAATTAACAATTATTGCTTCCTTCTTATACAATCTATAATTCTATCCATCTCACTATTACTTATTTAAAGTTCAAGGCTGTTATTCTTAATTAATAATTACTTTCAAAATTTTCTAATTATCATTCAGTTTCTGTTCCAATACACTTTTTCTAAATATGGTTCAGTTATTTTTCTGATTATAATTCAGTTATTTTTCTTTACTATGACCACATGGTCAAACTAAATTAAATTTTTTTTTCCCTCCTGGTTACACATTTTTGATAGGTTATGAATAAAACAGGTTTAATACCAATATAGAGCATTCAGCCAAACACATTTGCAATTAAAATTGAAGAAGACACAGGGCAATACAGTAATAAACAAATTCTGCCGTCAGAGTTCATGATTCGGTTGGTTATTTTTAAATTTGCATTCCTTTAAATGCTATGCTAGTGACAAGTTAGTGTACAGAAGATATTCTAGCATGGATTGATGAATAAAGAATAAAAAAAATAAAGTACTTATCGTTTGGTTGTTCGAAGCAGGAAACTCTCTCTCAGGAAGCCTAAATTCGTTATCCAAAACTTTCAGACGTCAGTTAAAAAAGTCCTCGATTTCAAAGTCTTCTGTGAACACTGACATAAAAATACCATCCTACAAATTGATAAGCAGAGAATCCACTTCAACTATCGCTGAAGTACTAACCACTCTTCCTTCTCAGATGCAACTGGATAAGACAGGACTTCCATCAGAGTGCTGGAGCAGCTTCCTTCCGTAAGAGGCCATGGAATCCAGTCTTTCAGGGCACACAGCGTAATAATACAGAAGCACCATCGTTGTAGGTAGTTGCAAACCTCACATAACCGTTACCAGCGACCCTTACACAGTTGGCAGAATTGAAGACCAAATCCAGCATGGCTCATGAGGAAAAAATGTCTGTCAATATCTTTCAGTCAAAAGCGAACTCCTGACAGAAGTTACATAGATGAGCGAACATTAAATTAGTGCAGTCGCCAGAAAAAGAACAGTAAGACCTTCATAGGAAAAACATTCTCATGTCGCCTCAAGTACTAAACAGGGTCAAAAGAGCATAAAAGAATAACCAACTCACCTTTAAGTCGTTTTTAGCCCAAAGTTGGAGTATCTTAGATTATTCCCTTAATATACTTCTAACACATGTATTTGCGAAAGTAGCTACAACTAGTCCAGTTTCTCCAGATATAAAAAATATTCATGGTCGTGGAGTGTGATTATAGCTAACTATCCTAGCAGCAACCGAGGAACAAACTTACTACATCTCAGCCTTCAAAAGAACAACTTCTTACTTACTCAATGATGAAAACAAAAGTGACCTATACTCCAAAATCTTACTACACTCTCACAAAAAACAGGCTACCACAAATTCCAAAGTTTGCCCCTTCCTTAGAGACAAAAATTTCCACTTTTTCACCCAAATTACAAAACAGCCTATCAGCACAAGCACAGCTAGTGAGGGCAAGGAACCAAAGTGGACCCCCCTCTTTCACCAAACCTGTTGAAAAAGAAAAATATCATTGAAACATTGTTTTTTCCAAAATGTAAAAATTCAGATAACAGAATATTAATACATTAATAATTCAAAGAATTAAATTAGATTAATTTTGACTTTTCCCAGAATAAAAAAAAATAACTTTTCTCAACAGACAATTATCACTTCAAACAATATCAACTTAACTTAAAAAAGACAATTCAAACAATTATCAACTTAACAGCTGTTTGAAAATATGTTCACTCCAATTAATCAATCATAAAATTTGTATAGAATTTCATTTTTTTTCTCGTAGGTGAAGTGTAATGTATTCTTTTTTGCCAACTATATTCCTATAAGAGTTAGGATGTTATTAAATTTGAACAAAGTTCAGTCATTTGTCCATATCTTTGCTACATCCCCATCTGTTTCTGGTTTCTCTTTAGTCTCTGCATCAAAAAGGTTTTGATCTTTTAAAACTATATAACACTGATCATTATGGTGCTTCTCTATCTAAATCCCTGGTGCATATTTTTACTTTTATGTTTGTATACCCTTGCATGCCAGAATTAATTTCAATGCTGTAACTTTATTAGCAAAGCCATCCTGCTGTATAATATTAGGATTATGCTTTCCTCAACTGTGAATTAATGGTAAGGTTTTAATTTATATTAACTGCTAATAAATAAAGAATTTTTTTCTTCGAGAAATTCATGGTTTTTCATCATATTCAAGTGCTAGTGTGAGAAGAATGTTTTGGGGAGACAGTGCATTGGTATTTGGGATTCAGTATATTTTTTTGTTACTGTGTTTTAGGCTAATATTATTCTATGAAGAATTCTCCATTTAAGAATTGAAAATTCTGTAACATGTAATCTTAAATAAGAATTAATTTTATTAGTTTACTTTCTGAATTTATGTAAAAATTGATTTAAAATGAAGATTTTTTTTTTTTATAAATATTTATCTTTTCATAAGATTTATCTGTTGATATTTCAGATGCTCTATGTTTACAATGGTATAATATGCACTGTTAAAAAAGTTCTTAAAGCTTGAAAAAATAAATAAAAAATAAAAATACTAACTTTTCATGGTATTTTTTCTTGGAATATCACTCCAAAAAATATCTTTGAAAGAGAAGAAAGTTGATGCGAGTATAATAATTATAAAATAACATATTGGAACATTTACTAAAATATTTTAAAAAACTGTTCTTTTAAAAATTTACTTTGTAAGTTTTTTTAAATGACGAGCACTAGCCATTTTTAGGCTTTTCCCCCCACTAAGGCCAGAAGTAGTGGTCATTTTATTATGGAGGCAACTAACAGGCAGCTACCATTACCTTCTATGAGGGGTCAGACAATTTTACATCAATGCGTTCTCCACGATGTGAACCCGAACCCTTGGGTATCACAGTTGGCTCCCTTAACCACGATATCATCGTTTGTAAAAACTAGGCTTTCCAATTTTTTCTGTACGTTAAACGTGTAAACCTATACAATAGTTAAGCAAAATTTCTTATTTAAAGTATAAAATTAAAATATATGTTTTGTAGACTCATATTTTGTAAATTAAAGCCATAGATAATATTCATTTTGATGTCTAGATTTTTATGTTAAATTCTTCTGCAGTTTATTTCTATATTACTCTTTTTTTCATTTTTAGGCTTTGAAATATGTTACTCCAGATCCTGGAAGTCCATAAATGTGACACTTGTGAGCTTTGAGACATTTTAGAAAGATTTAAAGAACAGCAGAATCAAACAAACAAAAAGTATTTTTTGTATGCAGAACCAAAATACAAGCCAAAAGCTTGCAAATGTAATTTTCTATTTTAATTGTATATAAATGTTGAAATGTATGTGATCAAAGTGATTTATTATTTTTCCTGTTAATGAAATCTCTTTTAATTTTTTCTGATTTTTTGGAAAAGGGGGAATAACTTGCAATCCCACTGCTTCTACCTAGTCCTTTATTTTTTTTTTAATTGTGTAAATACATTATCTTATTCTTTCTTATAATCTTATAAATCTTCTCATTTTTTATACCTCTGCTGCTGATGTTTTTGTATTATATTTATCTGCAGTTATTTTGCTTTATAATTTGTTATGTTAAGAAGGCTACAAAAAAATGTAAGCATATGAAGGTGAAAAGAATTGTGATTTACGTATATATATATATATACATGCACTGCCTTTTATCGGCTTTAAATTCTCTAGCATTAGGGATGAGGAGATGAGTGTTTTTATGTAAAGTTGCAGTACAAAGAAAAATGTATTTTTGAAGCCATATTTTACTTATTGTTATCAGAGTTTTCTGTAAGATATTTTAAAATTTCCAGTTATTGCTGTTGTGATTAATAAAAAATGTATTATAACCACAGGAGAGTAGGAGGCAGAGGGTACTATGCAAAATTTAATTCTGAAAATTGAAATAAAATTTATGCACTTTTACCGAAATGCAAATTGAGAATGTCCCCCCGCCCCCCGCCATAATGACACTATACTATAATGTCAAACCCACTTTATATAATCACTGTACTGTAAGACTGTCATATAAGAAATTGTGTTAAAAAATTACAATTCAAAGTATTTCCAAATTTCTGTATGCAAATACCTCTTTTTAAGTTAGCCTTAAAAATCTTAGCCTTAAGAGACTAAGAAAGATTTGTATTAGAGTATTAGTATAGTTTAGTGTATTTCATTTTACATATTTTTTTCTTGGGACTTGTTGATATATTTTATTTGTTGTTGATATAATATAATATTTGTTTGTTGATATAATATAATGATGTGCTAGAATGTTATTATATATGTGTTTTGCACAATTTCATATTTGTAGTAGTATCAGAAAATTTAATGTTAATGTGTATTATATATAATTTTTATGTCATTTGTAAACACTGAAATAGATTTTCTGCATTTTTTACATAAAATATGACTGCGAGATTAATATGTAGTGCTAAGATTCTTTAGACATTCTCTTAAGAATTTATATCACAGATTTAATATTTTCAGAAGCAAGTGCATGATCAGTTTTTGAAATTTATTTTCATATGCTTTCAAAAGTTTGAAGAATTTGTGTCTAATGTAAAGTATATTTTTATTGTAGCTTAAACAAATGCAAGGACTTCCATTTTGACAATCAGATCAAAATATATGTTGGTAATCAAATTACATTGTGTTTATTTGTTTCAAAGTTTTTTTTATATAAAGAAAGTGAAGGAGAAAACTTTGTATGTTTTTCTGTGAAATATGTATTGGCTGTAGAAACAGCAAAATTTTTTTTCAAATTGAAGTAAGATTTTTTAATGCAGCATTCTTTTTCTTTTTTTCCCTTCAGTATCACAACTAAATAATTAATTCTTTCATTCATTACTTTATTAAATTAATTGTTGTAGAATAAAATGTGACCTTTGTGATATTTATAACATGAAAAACGTAGTTATTTACTGATTTTTTTAAGTTGCATTCAGGCTGATTGCAAGGATGCTGCATATCATAAAGTAGGAGTTCTGGTATTTTTATATTTTATATCTTTATTGGAAATTCTATTATCATTTTATAAATGATTTATGCTTTATTGCAAATATTGAGTAAAAACAAAATATAGCAGTAATGTCATAGAAATGAATTTCTGTGAAATGTAATAATTCTGTAAATGACTGTAAACATTTATTATTACTGTCAGACTCCAAGTATCTGCACTCCAACATTGTTTTGCTGCAGAAACATTTTCCTGCCTGCAACATCTTTGGGTTTTCTTAGATTATTACTGGTGAATCCAATTGGTAAAAATTTGAAAAGTATTTTGGTAAATCATATGAAACATTAGAGTAATGTATTAACTCTAATAAATTGACTACATATAAACTCTAATAAAATGATATACTCGTTATGAACAAAACTTCAGTGGGCTGATGGCCGCTAAACGAATATTGTGTGGTGCTAATATATTAAAAAAATTATTTTATTACTTCCTTTTACACCAAAAACTTTATTTGTACTCAAAACTTTTTTTTTTATATATATTTATATCATGTTTGATTTTTGAGATCTGCATCTACTTGGTATATGATTTTAGTATATTTAAAACATGTCTGATCTGAAATTGGTTTGTCTAATATTTTAAAACTATTATTGAGTGCCAATATTAGTAACAACGATTCCTGTATTTGCTGAATTATATCAGCATTTCCCATCAGAATTTTTTCTGGGATATTTTGGGTTTATACATGTATAAATCTTTTGAGGTTTATTTCAGTTAAATTTGTGGTTGTAAATCACTATTTGTTGATTTTTCTGTAGGTTCATATTTGTATTTGTAACTAAATGATTTTATAAAAATAAAGTCTTGTTAATAATTTGCTGTCTTTTTTATTAAGTTTGTATAAAATACATGCTTTGTTGAATATCAAGCATAATATTAGTTATTTAGTTGTACATTATAATCTGTTTAATACTTTATTGTAATATGTTGATTACAGTGATTATAAAAGCAATCAAACTGCATCATTGCCACACTGAAACTTAAAAACGTATTGTAAGTAGGTTCTTTTAAGAGTTTTGCTTAATTTTCTGTCCTTTTTTCTTAGAGCTCCTATGTAATGTTAAATAATTAAAGTATTGCTAAATGCTTGGAAAAATGTTTAAAAATGATAAATTGAGAGCGTTTTTTATTCTTGTATTTTTATCTGCAGCTACTTAGGACTATTTTTATGTGATTTCATACACAAGTCTATCTTTTCTTCCCCATGAAGGATAGTGTAATTAACTTATTTTCTACCCTTTGAAACTAATATATTATTAGAATTTTTCACTTACAATTTTAATTTGTTTCAATTCAAAATTTCAAGCAAAAATATTCTTCAAATGGTAAAAAAAAAAAGTGTGCTAAAGTGAAACTGAGAATTATATATATATATATATAACTTTGTTTGGCAGAAAGGGGGGAAGCCTTGCAGCTGTGTTGCTTGTACCTTTGAAATCCATAGTGTTTTATCCAAAATTCAAGCCAAACAAAGGTTGCTTTTTTTTTTTTTTTTAATCTAATTTTAAATAAAGATGTTCAGTTATGTGAGAATGAAAATGTTCAGAACATGATAGTTGAAAACTTAAATAATAATAATAGATAAATTATAGTTCTTGTTCCAAAATAACTTTTGCTAAATTAACAAATTGAACATTATGCACTGCTACGAGCATTTAGGATTAAATTATGTTCTAGGTTATCAGTAAGTACCTCTCTCATTTTTGAAGTAAAAAAATCTTAATTTGGATGTTTTCTGCTACATATCAACATAATCTAAACCAGATATCTTTAAACTAGGGGTCATGAAAAATTTTTTTGAAGTCGCAAGGTTATTGAAAAACTGCTTAGAAGGAGTTCAAACATATAAAACAGATATTACTGAGAATTTGGAGTCGAAATCCTAAAATGTTTGGGAACAACTGGTCTAAATTTTTTTAGACGGATATATGCACCAGTTTGATAACTCCCATTTAGAAGGAACTGATCATATCTGATATGATTCATATTCATCTGAATTCAAGTTCATATAAATATATGTAGAGACATCAGAATAAAGACAAAAACTGGACAGGCTTAGCTAACATTGTTGCCTATAGGCCACCTTCAAATTAAATATGCTGTTCTTATTTTCAAAGCTAATATTGTCAATAAAAAGTTTTTTAAATGTACATTCTTGTTTAGTTGTTTATTTACGTAAAATAACTAACCTAAAAGACATATTTCTGATCTCTTAAATAAATAACAAGCTATTAACTTATAACAGGAACTATTTTTTTAATTTATTATTGATTTGTTACTTCAGATTTATTTAAAAAGGGAGAAAATTTTTTTTTTGTCCTTTTTTTTTTTTTAAAGTAAATATACTTATTTGAATTCTAATTGCTAGACATAGAAAAAGATATGGTTTAGGATTGTGTGTTGCTCTACTCAGGATGAAGCTTTCACTCAAGTACCTGTGAACCGTGACTGTCTCATCTAAATACACAATCTAATTGACATCTTATTGATATTTTAAAGCTGAGATAGAGGTGAATAATGTTGCCTATAATTGTCTCCTCGAATGTGTTGTCTGCCTGAATAATGTGCTTTATGACAAAAATGTCCGGGCAATCACCAGGATGTTCCATTCATGATTTTTAAAAGAAAGTTGATTAATGTGTAACGTATTGCTCAGCAGGATGTTCCATTCAAGATTTTTAAAAGAAAGTTGATTAATGCTGTGTAATGTACTGCTGAGCATCCAAAATGCGACGCTACGAAGAATAAGAGATCAAAGACATATTTATTGGACAAATTATGTAAGGTATAAGGGGTGAAATGATTAAAAATTAGATTTGGGTGTTCTGCGGCACACCTAGTATTGAAAGAAGAGTCTTTGATTGTGTGCTTGGTATAAATCAGTCTTTGCTGTTTCCACAGCCAGAGTTCATCTGGCATAACCATGTGTGGTGTACGTGGGGTCAACTCGTTTCCTAGTTATCGACGAGATGTGTTTAATGGAAACTTGGTCATAGCAGACCTTGAAGGTACGAGAAGACAATAGGCAAAATAAGGAGTCAAATTCATCTTTAATAGTTTTCTCCCTCATCTAGTAATATACAGCATCTGCAGAAAAGTCCATAACGGCACTTTATTTTCGAAAACGTTGGCTGTGTATGCTTCTAATTACAAAACAGAGAAAATATTGTGGCCATTTTCTAAATGTAATTTTCTAAAAATTACGAAACCTTAACTTTTTATACAACCCCCTGTTAAATGCAATTATATTAGTTGAGTTTAGACTCATTTGAAAAAATAAAATGCCAAAACTTGAATATTTGTTTCGTTTAAAACATTTTTGAAAAAGTTACTGTTCTGTTATTGGACAGGGTTCAGAGAAGTATGTAATGTATGGATGATTGAATATGTATGTCTACAATCAAGTTTCGAAAACAAAGGCTGCGTAAACCTTCCATGGATGCGGTCCATGTTGTATAAAATGTTCAATTTACCAATGCATGATTCATTGGTAGTAATTATTAAAACTGCAAATCAACAACGGAGTAGACCCGGAATGAATAGTTGACACATTCAAACGTCAACTATAGAAATAATAGGTCGTTTCAACTCCATTATGTTCGTACTCGCTGCTAAGAAGTTTTACTTTCGCTGGTAATAAAACATCTAAAAAATCGGAAAAGAAGAATTCCGGAGGATAACAAAATTAGTGGAATTTTCATTATTGCACTCAGCTGATTGTTTCAGCGAACATGTAGACGTGGGTTTAATCGCGTTAGATAAACTGTACCGTGTCTTTGCAAAATGCTCATGAAACTAGTGAAACTACAACTTCGTGAATGAGAATTCTTAAAAGTTAATCTGCATGATAGAATTGAGTCTCATGTTCAGAAAATGATAGAACTGAATAAATAAAATTTTTATTTGAAATAAAAATGCAAAATTAAATTGATTTTTAATATTTAGAAACCATAAATAATATTTAATACACGGAATTTATGCATAATGAAACGCATTATTTTTTAAATAAAATGACAACAAAGTATCGGTTACCATAAATAACTTATCCAGCAATGGGTTTACCATAAGTCGTATCGCTCGCCAAAAAAGAAAAATTGCCAAAATCCGTGCAACCGTCTACTACAGTAGCACCGAAAATTTTAAGAAAGGATGCGCATAAATTTTACCTGGTGTAATGTCATAGGTTTAGCCTTAATCATAATTTTAACTTTAGCTGTGCTAAAACTGTCAGTAGAATTTAAGCTGATGAATTAGATTTTCACATTAAAAACAATTTCCTACTTCAGGTAATGTCATTAAGTACAATTTATTATTTCCCAGAACTTTCAAAACTGTAATACCTTTTAGTATTGGTTTTCATTTTTGATTAAATTTGTGTTTGATAGAAGACAGTAATCCCATTTATTTGGATATTTGGTCCGACCCCGTTGCAAACGTTTCTGCTTTTGAAGAAGGAGACATATCAGCCACTCTCTAACTCGATCTACTTTCTTTTAAAATCTACACAAATTCAAGGTTCCTCCCCCCCCTTAATATTGTTATAAATATTTGTTAAACATTTTAATTCTTTCTTACTGAATTTCGTTTTTCAGTGTTGCTGTGGTATTTTGTATTGCTGTATATATTTATTTCATTTATTTATTGTTTTGAAAATTTTGGGGTTTATTTTGTGTTTAATCTAATTTGTGGTCATGTATCTCATATTTAAGAGTTTATTTGTTCCTTAGAATTACATCAGACGTTTTAATTCTAAGTGCAGCAACGTTGAAATCATAAAGATAGTTCAAATGGAACGCGAGATACAAACAATTTCGTTCCTGATGAATCTTAACGATAAAGTGACCACATTTTCATTGAGACAAATGGAATGAAATGAGAATTGTAATTTAGTTATGAAAGCAGACCAATAAATCAAAAAAATATATTTTATTGTATACATTCATATACTTATCTATAAATATACAAAAATATATTTATTATTAACTATTTGGTAACTATAAAAGTATTTTTAAAAAAGAATAATTTGAATATTAAGTTTTTTAATTAATTAAAAATTTTATTAGAAATATGATTTTCTTTCACGGTCATATTTTTTATTTGAGTGATTCGTATCATTTATTAAATAATAATAGATAGAATCATCGTAATACATTCGGATCATTTATTAAAATGTCGTATAAGTTCTCACATGAATTGGTCAAATTGTATTTTACGCTTAATACAAATTTTAAAATTTTAATGTTCAACTGCGTTTTTTTCAATTATCCATATTTTACTGACACTAGAAAAAACACGTTCTGTTGCTGTATTTTTTCCTGGAAGGAAGAGCGCATGTTCTTCAGTTTTCAAAATATTTTCATAAGGAATATTATTCTGTTTAAAATGAAGGAGTAACTCCGTCCATTTTTGTCTGTTTCCACATTTGCAGACAACCAACATTTAATTTTTTTCATCAGTAACGCATCTTTTGACCAATGACACCTCATCAAAAAGATCATTTTCGCAAATATTATTTTTTCGGAAAATGGTTACTAATATATTAAAAAGATTTTTCTACATTTTCCCATAAAATCACCTTTTTTAATGTTAAATTTTTTTGACATTAAAAAAGGAGATTTTATGGGAAAATGTAGAAAAATCTTTTTAATATATTAGTAACCATTTTCCGAAAAAATAATATTTGCGAAAATGATCTTTTTGATGAGGTGTCATTGGTGCAATATATGAAGGTCGTTTAATTACATCTTGTTCTTCCAACCTAGTGATGTCCTTTCGAATATCTTTGAGGTCGTTTAATTACATCTTGTTCTTCCA